GCGCTGGGCTTTGTCGGCCTGGGGCGGGGTGAACGGGAGGCCAGGGGGGTCCGCGGTGTGGGGGCTGGGGGAGGCGGGCGCATCCCGGGGTGGACAGGACCCCGCTGAGGAGGCCGGCGAGGCGGGGGGTCGCGCCCGCGCTGTGGTTCTCTGGCGGGGCCGTGCGATGCTCTCCTCTCCTATCGGGTCACATCCTTTTGTGCCGACCGGAGGATGGAATCCCCAGTATCTCGGCTGCCGCCCTTGATGGGATGAGCGGGGTCCTCCGCGGACCGCAGACCGGGACGCGCCTGTTCGGGACAAGCTGTTTACTTGCCAGGGACCGGGCAGTTCTGTGCGCGTCCTCCCCTCCCCCTGCCCCCATTCGGACTCAGCATCCTCCGCTCGGTACCTCCCTGGCGTAGCCTACACAGCTTTGCCCTTGAACCCAGAGGGGTTAGAGAAGGGCAGGTCCAGAAGTCGGGGCCAGCTCCCTCCCAGGACGCGCCTTCTCCCTGGCCGCCCTCGTGTGAATTCTGGCCTGGCCTCTCATTTCCTGACCTGAATTCCTGAGGATAAATTCTTTCCTTGCCTCCTTCACTTACTCTTCCTCCCCTCGGCTCCATCACGCGTTTTGCTTTGTCCTTCCTGTTTTGAAAGCGCTTTCCCGTGATCCCTCTCATTTCCCTGGGCCCGTTCTTCGGTGTCTTGGTATCTCCAACATAGCCCTGTCTTTTTATCGATCAGCAGCGGGAGTTGTTTGTTCCTTAGCCCTTAGCTCGGCCTCCAATCCTCCCCTGGCAGTGTCTTGGGAAGTCCTGGCTATCCTCCCTGAAGGCGAGGAGAGGCACCATCCACACCCACCTTCCTGGGCTCTTGCAGCAGGGTCCCCAGAGCATCCTTCCAGGAACTGGGCTGGCATCCCAGAAGGCTCTGCTTGGCCCCTGGGAGATGTGTTGGTATAGCACACGCCTTTTCCAGTGGGTTCCTGAGGCGCTGCTCTCATAGAGAAGCCAGTGGTTCCGATTTTCTGCTCCTCAGGAGCCCTCCCAGCTCACCTGCTGGGGTCCAGGTCCACTGTGGAGGCAGCTGTGCCCAGGGCCAGGGTTGAGAGAAGGGACAGATCCTACTTTTAGAATTCACCCAGCTGGGCTGGAGCTCTGGTGTTGTCAGGTCTTCTCTTTCTTTCTTCTCTCTCATTCTTTCCCCTCTTAGGGGTCAGTATTTCTGGGAGTGCCCTAGGTAGAGGAAGAAACATCACAGATGCCATGAGCAGGTGGCCCCTCCCTCACATCCTTCTCTTTCATCTCCAGCCCAAAAGGAATGAATTTTTCCTTTAGATTGGGCTTTGAAAACAGATCCACATGGGCAATCAAGAGGTCAAGTTCCTGAACCTACTTTCTGCAGCCACCAAATGGAATTAGAACCCAGGCATGGCTCCGACCAATTACTTTGCTTTCAAAAATCAAACAAAACTAACAACCAGCTCTTAAAAATCCTTCTGAGTCATCCGTAGACAGCCCTGCTCCAGGCTCTGGGAATGCTCTGGTGGTGTGCTTCAGGACCACCAAAGGGAACTGGGGGGTGGCATTGGCACGGGTGGCGAGACGGGCCCATCAAGCAAAACAGGACTGGCATGCAAGAAGGGAACCCGAGGCGAAGAGTCACTATTAGGCTGGAGTCCTGCAAGAGAATGCATAGGAGGCTTCTGAGATTTCATTCTACATGTGTTTTTCTTTTTCTTTCTTTTTTTTTTTTTTCAGACAAATAAGGAGCTCAGAGTCGGGCAAGGGTGGGATGATGCTCTTTGATGCCAAAGCACCTTTGACCTGCCAGGCAGAGGGGCCTTTGCTGGTGGTCTTTCTTGGCTCATTCCAGAGAGGTAGGTTGGGGGAAGAAAGCAGTGTTTGGGGGAAGGGAGAAGAAATATTGTTTTGTAGCAAAGAATTTGAACAAAATCCACCCTCCTTGACACTCCAACTAAAGAAGAACTTCTCCATAGGACTAGCAGGCCCAAAGGGAGAGAATGACCCACATTTATGCCAGGAGCAAACCAGGGAGGAAGTGAACTAGACCTCAGCAGCCTCCCAAGAGAAGGATGCTGCTGTCTGGGATGGCTTTGTACTGAGGAGTCCCGGAGCCCATTAGTAAGCTGCAGCCTTTGGTATTTGACTCATGCCAGTTGTAGGAGTTTGGACCTGTTTAGGGAGAGAAAAATTAAAACATTTTTTTTCAAAGGAAGTGGATTAAAATTTTAAAATTCAGTATTGCTTCCAGAGGAGTCCTTAGGTGGGGTTGTTCTCTGTTTCAAGATGTTGGCAGTCACTGATTCTCTGATAGGATGCTCTTCAGAGCTTTTAGGACATTGACTTTGGAGATGCAGTCCTTTCACTGTGCAAATGGAGAGACCAAGGCCAAAGGCTGACGCTGACCGGGCATTGGCCAATGCTCCCAACCAAGGGCCTGGGGCAGCTGGCGTAGTTCTTGAGCTCTATGATGGGGAGGCCTAGCACTCCTCTTGCAAGCTCTGTGGGTAGGTATTGTGTCCTGAACATACCTGGAACATTCCTTCTGAGCAGCTGCCGTCATTTCAGAATGGACAGGGCAGGGCTAGAGCCTGGTACCATCTCTAGAGTTTTGTCTCTAGGTCTTCTCTGGTCATTTTCAGATTTCCTTGTTGGTTGTGTCTCTCTTGTAAAAAGTAAAATATTTACAGAATCTTAACCTATAAAGCAGATAATAACAGAGCCACTGTGGGGAAGGAGAGGCCATCCCAGAACTTACTTGCTTCTTTAGAACCCACTACTCTCCTGAACAGCGGTATAAGCTGTGGGTGGTGTGGGCCCATGTTGGAGGATGAGTTTCTTCTACACATCTGTTTGCACTATCTTGATCTTTGTTTCAGAAAATTAAAATAGTAATTTTAGTCCTCATCCTTTTTATTCATAAAGCAAATATTTACTGTTGAAAATCTGCAACACAGAAAAAACTGCACGCATTGCTCGCTCTTCTATAATCCCACCCCCAAAGACAGTACCCTTGTTTCCTCAGCGGAGTGTTTCCCCCACTCCTGCAGGATCTCTTCTATGAAATATTTTTTGGGCCAGGCACGGTGGCACACACCTGTAATCCCAGTTTCTTGGGAGGCTGAGGCAGGAGGACCGCAAGTTCAAGGCCAGCCTGGGCAATTTAGCAAGGGCCTGTCTCAACATAAAAAGGGCTGGCTTGGGGTTTATTGATAAAGCTCTTGCCTGGCATGCTTGAGGACCAGGGTTCAATCCCCAGCACCACAAGTAAAAAAAAAAAGAAATAAAACTAGATTCAGGGGTTGGGGATGTAACTCAGTGGTAGAGCACTTGCCTTGCATGCATGAGCCTGGATTCAGTCCCCACAGCTCTAGAACAATCTTGATTTTCATTTATTGCTAAAGATTACTACAGACTTGCTAGGCACAGGGGCACACACCTGTAATCCCAGCAGCCAGGGAGGCTGAGGCAGAAGGATGGCAAGTTCAAGGCCTGCCTCAACAATTTAGTGAGGCCCTAAGCATCTTAATGAGACCCTAAGCAACTTAGTGAGGCCCTGTCTCAAAATGGAAAAAAAAAAAAAAAGTTGGCAATGTGGCTCAGTGGTTAATCACTTCGGGTTCAACCCAAGATCACTATGGACTTCCACATACACATAACTGATTGAATACCTATGTCTACTCTGTTTCAAAATCCCACTAAAATGAAAGCAAAGAAGTAAAAATATTTAAGTCCCTTGGAAAACAGAGAAGTAAATGGTAGAGGAGGCTGTGTGGAGGGTCGCAGATGGGTGAGACACTGGGCAGAGAGTGTTGGCCTGGTTGGTGGGAGCCAGCTGACGGGCCCTCAGGACCAGCAAGGGTTCCCAAAGGCGGGCAGCAGGGAGGGCTGGAAGCGGGAGCGGGTGGGTTAGAGAACAGACCCTGCCCCAAGTCACAGAGCCAAGCCGGTGGCTCTCTGCTCCACCCAGGCAGAAAACAGCATTTCCTGCAGGCGTGTGAGTGGCTCAGACCCAGCTTGACACAGAGAGGCTGCGAGGGCAGCGGCTGAGGACAGGGGAGACCTCACACTGGAGAAGGATCACCTGGAGGTTCGCACATGGAACCGGAGAACATGGCCTTCTGGCTGGCACCCAGCCTTCGGGCAGGGCTTTGAAGAGCTTCCCTCTCAGGAAACCTCACCAAAAAAATGGCCCTCAGATACCGGCTTTGAAGGGGAGCCTGTTGATTCGCTGGTTCATTACTTTGTGAATCCTACGAAGTGACCAGCCCCCAGCTGTGCACAGTAGGTTTACACTGGGTGGATAAGGATCGTCCCGCCCAGGCTGAGACCTCCGCCATGGCAAAGAGAGACCCGTGGAAACAGAAGAAAAGGAGCCCAAAGTCCAAGGTGGCTGTTAAAAATTAATAATAATAATAATAATAATAGGCACCCTGATAAAATAAACTCTTGCTGGGTATTTTAAAGCTATGATAACAGAAGTGAAAATTTCAACAGAAGAGTTGAAAGAGAAAAATTTCCAGCAAGGAGAATAGAAAGGCTTGAAACACGGAAAACAGGAGAGAAGAGAGAAAATTAGAGAGTCAGTGTAGGAGGCCCAACATTCATCTCACAGGAGGCCAAGGAAAAAGAGGGGAGGGAAATGGAGGAAGGGAAATTATACAGCAACAACTTCTAGAACCAGAGACGCTGCTGCATTGAAGAGGATCTCTGAGCAGGACCCAGCAATAAAAGGCCCGCAGCGTGGGACATCATGGTGAATTCTCCAAACTCCGGAGATAGTCTTGGCAGGGTGCTGGGCTCCTGTGGTCCCAGAGACATGGGAGGCTGAGGCAGGAGGATCACTTGAGCCAGGGAGTTCAAGGCCAGCCTGGGCAACATAGTGAGACCCTTTCTCAAAAAAACAAAATGAAACAAAAATCCTCCGGAGATAGAATTAAAGTCACCAGAAGAAAGCAAGCCAGCCACATACCGATCCAAGAACAGAATGGCCCTGGACTTTTTCAAAAGCAAAAGCAACACTAAAAGCTACAAGAAAATGGATAGATGTTTCCAATTTCCAAGGAAAAGGAATTCCCCACCCAGAATTCTTTCGTCATTATTTAAGTGAAATAGTGCATTAGACACATGTTTTTAGATGTGAATTTTCTTTTCTTTTGGTGCCTGTGTCTGTTTCTATTAGACTAAAACTTCCCTGGAGCAGGGGTGGTGCCCATCCCGTCCCTACTGGGCACCTAGAAGGGACTCAAAGAAACGTCTGCTGAGTGACCGAGCCAAGGACCAGGGCCTCCCCGAGCCGCGGTTCCTGGGTCTCCAGGAGGCTGTGGTGGTCACAGGGACTCTGGGCTTTTCGTGGTAGACAGAGCCAGATGGCAGTTTCTGGAACCTCCTTCCTGGAGAGTGTCCAGGAGCTCTGCTGGGAAGCGGGCCCCCTGGCGAGGCAACTTCCGACCCTGAAGTGCCCACTCACTTGCCCACATGGGTTGGGCAATGGGAAAAGTGCCGATTTCAGAATTCTCCACGGGGGAGAGGCCGCAGTCAGCCCAGTGGTAAGAAGGGCGTTTGGAGGCGTCCGCCCAGGTCAAGGAGCCCAGCCCAGACTGCGCCCACTCAGCGTGGTGCCACGGGCCACCCCTGAGGTCATCGTCACCTACCTCACAGGCGCCTCTGCAGGGTGTCCTCTCTCTCTTTCGCTGAGGTGGCTGCTGGTCTTGCACCCTCCCAGGCTGGGTTTGGGCTAGACACCTGGGCCGTGTGCTTCACTGCCTTCTCGAGGTCTCTGTGACGGAGGCCCCCTTTCTCGGGTTAGGTGGGTTGTGCCTTTCGGCTCTGGTATCCAGAAGGGGGATGACACCTTGTCATTGGGTTCAGACTTGGAGGCATAACTCCTGCTCTGCAGCAGCTCGTGGCGACTCCTTAGGGCGACGTGGAGGGAGCGTGGCACACACCACCTGGGTTCCCTCGGGGAGTTGTTCATCCCGCAGATGGGCAGGACACCACGTCACCTCTGTCCCTCGCTGCCTTCCCCCGTGCCCCGAGTGACTCCTGTGTTCCCCTGGAAAGCCATTCCCCAGGACGTATGATTGCAGGTCCCAAAGGGCATCTTTACAATTGGCAGAGGCTGGGCAGTGCTGCCTGGTCATGTGATGGCCAGTGTGAGGCAGTGGAGTCCACCAGACTGGGACGGTGCCGGCCCAGAGCCCTGGCAGAGGTTTGAGAGGCAGGAAGGGGATCCCTCAGGCATCCTGGGCTCAGCCAGGCCCCCAGCCAGCGGGGCCATCGGCCTAGGGGACCAGTGACTGTTGCAGCTTCATCTGGAGGAGGATCTTCAGCAGTCACAGAAGCTTTCCTGCTGCTGGCAGTGAGCCCGGATGCCACCGTGTGTGGAACTCCTCTGCTGCCTGTGTAGGGCCCAGGGCAGACCCCAGATGTCCGCTGGCCTTGGGCTAGAGAAAGAGCAGCCAGCGGGAACACCCCAGAACACTGGAAGGGAGGAGTGGTCTCCTGCGATGGAGACCCACGAGTCGATGGCTCTGCTGTCCCCAGCTGCCTTTGAGGACTGAGTGGCCGAGAGGCGGGAGGAACGGAGCCCGAGCCGTGCTGCTTCCCGGCTTTCCTAGAGCCAGGCGTGGACAGAGCAGTCTGCTCCAGGGGGCGGAGGTGGGGGTGGAGGGGTTGCCCGGGCTCCGTCCTGGGAGGATGCCACCTCGCCCCTGGGGTGCTCCTGGCCTTCACTGGCCCTCTGTCTGGGCCGTCTCTCCTGTCCCCCACGGCTCCCCATCTGTCACCTGCCGGCCCCAGGTATATCTCTACAACCCCACAGATGGCTCCCTGGGCCCTGGACGGGGACACTTGG